CCCCCGCCCGCCAGCTCACTTCGGTGGCCGACGCGGTATGGGTCTCTTGCAGGAAGATGCCCCCCCCCCCCCTTCCCGAAGGAAGGAGAGTACCCGACACCTGCGGAGACCCACCCTGCAGCCCGCGGTGTTCAGAGTGGTAAGAATGAACAGTGGCATTGAGAGGGCTGGGGAAGATCTTAGCTGGCAGGAGTGCTGGCAGTCCCCATCAGCAGGGCATCATGGAAGCCACAGACCCACTGGTAGGCTGCAGCCTCCCGCTGCCCGGTCCCTTTATCCCAAGATGGCCCTTACCATCTGAAGGACAAGATGGAAATCTCCCCAGCGCTAAAGGGTGACAGCTACTTTGTTCTTGGAGCCATGAATGTCTTCAAAGAAGTCGCGCATCTCACCCCTCAGCACGTCGGGGCCTTGGGCCAGACCACTCTGCACGCCCCGCGACTGATGCGGGAAAGCAGGGCCTCTGAAGTCCCTGCTGGAATGATGGCAGGGGTAGTGGCAGAGGGAGAACAGCCTCAGATGTGCTTGGAGCAGGAGAAACAAAAACCGCTTCCCCGGGGCCAATGTTTGGGCTGATCCCGGGGACCAACGTCTGAGCTGAATGTGGCAGCAGTAACAGTGTAAGGGGAGGAAAAGATGTCAGGGAAGGGATTGGGGAAAGGAGGAAGCAAAGTAGGAGGAGCAAGAGGTGGGGGATTAGGAATTAGATGAGGAGGGGGAGCAGGAAGAGGAATGGGAAATTTTGGTTGGGAGAGGGGCAGATCAGGGAACGGGAGTGGGGCAGGGGTTAGGAGCAGGGTCAGAAGCCTCAGTGGAAGAGGCACTGGGATGCAGTGCCTCCTCGCAGGGCAGGGGATCAGTGGCAATGGTGGGGGGATATACTAAACTTCCTAGCGCCAGGCTCCGGCACCTCTGAGTGCAGTGCTGGAGGTCCTAGTGCCAGGGGTGATGGGGAATGATGCGAACTCCTGCCTGCTAGGAGCCCCCAGGGGTTCAGTGGCCAAAGTGCTGCTGATGGCTGGGCAGTTGGTCACACCCTGGGGCAACCTGGAGAAGGGAGAGTGGCGGGGGGGGGGGGGGGATCTCCCCACCGAGGCAGCCAGGGGCAACCCTAAAGCCCCCACCTCTTGGGAGAGAAAGGTGAGTCCGCTGCCACGTGGTCGCCCTTGCCGGCAGCAGGGTCAGCGGTTGTCCTCACAGTGGAGGTGGGGATGATGGGAGAATTCTCCATGGACACTTCCTCTTGCAAGGACTCTGGGAGGGAGGCGTTTACTCCTCCCGCAACCGTTGTGGTCACCTCAGCCGCCCCACAGTGCTGTGAAGCGTA